AATAAAGCGCAGTCGTACCACGGTAAAGACTTTTCCAGCTCCCACCACCACCACCACCAGCACCACCAGCACCACCAGCACCACCAGCACCACCAGCACCACCACCAGCACCAGCACCACCGGCACCACCGGCACCACCGCCGCCGCCGCCGCCGCCGCCACCGCTACCGCTACCACTGATACCACTGCTACTAAAGCTGCTGCTACTAGTACCACCATCATAGGACCATCGGTCCTATTACATGTGCCAGCATCACGACTACTATCACCCCCACCACGTTCGAGCATCTTCTTCTTTTGCTGGCACGTACTGGGCAGCAGCAAAAGTAGCAGTCGTGGCGATTCAGGTAACAATCCGCAACACGACACAAGCGCGATATGGGTGATTAAATTGAAGGGAGGCAATGCGAAAGCGGGAGTCGTGCCATGATAAGCAGAAGAGCCAAGGCCACAACAGATTGCACGAACTTCTATCTACCATCGGCAGAAGTCTCAATGGAAATGCTTGGCATCATTGTTGGCATCACTGGTGCTGTCATCCTCTACTGCGCGCTGCTGGGCATTGCCGCCGTCAGGCATATTCAGTCTCTCGGGCGCACTGTGATATTGAAAATTCTGCCCTACACTAGCCCTCCCACCCTCCAAGGGTAAACGTCTCCAGGTGCTCCGCAATATGGGGAATAGTTTTACCGGTGATGAGATGAGGGCGCTAGGAGGGAGGGCTCAATTCAATTAGTGCTGCAGTAGCCCCAAGATTTCCATCTTTGATTTTGTGAGATTCCGTTTATCTTGTGCGTTTAAGAATTACGAAACATGATGAATTGCTCACCTGCATGCCTTGAGTTGTTTGCGCCGCTCCGACACATACTGCCCAAGCGATCCCTGAAGAACAATGCGTTGGATGGTGTAACCTGAACCCCTGAAATCCGATAACCCCCTAAACCCTGGACCCCCATAAGGAAAAATGCCATGGATGACGTATCGATGTCAGCTGACCACGGTCCACCATCAAGTGGCTGTATGGCCAGGTTGCTGAGGTCCGGGACACGTGGGTATCATGACCCCCGAATGATAATGGTAATCGTGACAATGCTGTTAACCGTGATAAAAGCAGTAATAATCATGAGAATAGTAGCAGTCATAATTAAAGATCCCAATATGATGCCATTGTGTATGAGGGACAAGCAGAGGGTTTTGGCTAGAGGCTAGCTCAGTCTCATTTTCTGCGTTGTTGAATTAATCAGGCTCTATCCGGAGGTGTTGTTTCGGAGTGGCACAGGGTTGTTTCTGGAGCTCAAATGCAGCCATGCGGTGCATGAAGGTTGCGTAACCCAGCTGCCGCGACTACTATTCCGCATTCTGGCGGAGTATACCTTGCGCTCAAGCTGAAGTATTTTCAGTGTCATCACTGCGGCGGCAAAACATGCTGACTAGCATTTCCGGCGCCGGACATCCTGACTTTCGTCAGCCCTGACTTCCGAATCCTAAGCCTTCAAGTTACTTTGAGCTACAATCAGAACTCCTTGTATCCGAGCTACTGGAGTGCCAATCCTACGTAGGAGTCCCATGTACTTACTTCTTGAGAGCGCGCCCGACTGTGTAATCACAGGTATTTAAATTGGTCTTAGGGGTCGGGCTGTTTTATCATGGAACCAAAGGGAAGATACGGCACTTCTCAGAAATAGAGGGGCCCCCATAATTACACACCCAAAATCATTGTAATCTTTATTCTTGGACCCTCGCAAAAAAGGATTTTTAGTTTTCGGAAAGCCCCATATTATATACCCTCCAATCTCCAAACAGCCGCCAGGAACTGTGGCATTTACCCAGGTGCGGGCAAGAGAGATCGCGCAAAGGAGGCCCAAGGGCGCCTGTACTCTTCTTGATGTATATCAGAAGGTAAGCAGGGTTTGGGATTTGGGGAGACGAGAGGCACCGCTTCATATATACACACACACACACACGCACACGCACGCGCGCGCACATCCATCCATCCATCCCTCCCTCCCTCCGTCCGCCCGTCCATCCGTCCGTCCGTCCGTCCGTCCGTCCATCCATCCAACCATCCATGCATGCATGCACGCATACATGCATGCATACACGCATACACATACATACATACATACATACATACATGCATGCATGCATGCATGCATGCATGCATGCATGCATACACACACACAGCCGCGCGCGCAGACATATTTAAAATACGCGTTCGAAGGACCCTTGAGATCACCCTGCAAGGCACGAATCCGAGCCAAGAAAGCCCGGGACAAGCGCAAGAATCGGAATCAGGACTCTGCAAAAGGTTTGGGACATTTGAGCTATAGTCTAAACTCCTTGCAGGGGTGATATAGGGGATTATATAGGGGAGTATTATAAGGGTTATAAAGGGGGACACGAGGAGCGTAGACAACTTCTCACTCGAACTTGGTGTTTCGCATGTCAATGTTTTAGTGCTGCAAGCAGCGGGCTATGATGCTTGTCTCTAAGTCTAGAACCGTCAGTGCACAGCTCTGAGCTGAAATAGACTTACTGGTTTAGGGTTTAAGGTTTAGGGTTTAGGGAATAAGTGAATATGTCATATAGAGCTTCTACAGGTATTACATTCCCTTACTCCCTAGTACCGAACCCCCGGTACACACATGCATCACAGATTTTTGAACAGTCCGGAAAGTACACCGCAGCATTGTTGGCCAGCCTCTAAGCCGAAACCCAGTGGCCAACTGCAGGAGAAAACAACTCTTCTCGAGGAAGGGACAGAAGGCACCCCTACTCCAGGCCCCGCGTATCTCCAGAACGGTCAATCATTCTCAATTTTTGGGGATAGCTTTCAGTTTTGTTTTCTTGCACCTTGTGCATTTTTTCGCGAGCAAAGAAGGTCCTGGCCGCAGTGTCACGGCAGCTACATAATTGTCTATGAAGCCCTCATACATGCCCAAGCCACTTGAGTGTTGCGGTCATGGTTTAGGCGAGACAAAAAGGTTTGCAAGTGGGATGGAGAGGTTTTCAAGCAGGATTACGAGGTGTTCTCCATTTCAGACGTGCCTGCGCTGTTGTAAGTTCAACGTCTGATTGCTTCTGCTTACCTTGGTCCAGGCATAGTGGTTCCCTCAACGGTGGGAAGGCAGGGGGACGCAGAGGGTCTCCAACCAGAGGCAGGGTGGGGCGAAGTTTGGACGGCTTAGGGCCTCATGGAGAATCAAATGGAAAGGTCATGTAAATTGAAATGGAAATTTGGATTATGTGGGGGTTGCAGGGTGATTCCCACAATTCCCACACTCTTCCTCAATGTTGGGGTCCTCGTACGATGGTATATGCGGATGGCAGTGGGATACGATGGTAATGACGAAGGAGAATACAGCGAAATTTATGTGCAAGTTGCATGCAAGATAGCTGTATGCATCACCTGGATGATTTGCAGTATTATCTTGATTATGATTCAGAAGCAATAGGCGATAGTCGTCCTCTTGCTCGTCATAAGCGGGCCCAGCTTTCTGGAGACCATGCCTTCTAGGTCAAGGGGTTATGTTGGGGTTACATAGGGATACTGAAAGTACATGATGGAGCTGTACCAAATTCACCCTTTCATAAACATAACAGACACCTGCGAGAAATGATTATTGATCAAGCCCTAAACCCTAAACCCTAAACCCTAAACCTTTAGGATATCTACCACCGTTCGGCTGCACGAATGTTTATCTAATTTTTAGCTGCTAGTGTGAAACACCAACTTTTGTGAAGCAGCATGGGAGGAACAATACAACGATATGATTAATTACAAGGATTGGCACCCAGTGAGCCGAACCGTTAGGCAGGAAGAAGGTTAGCACCAACGACTTGCGCAACGACTTAGCTGCAAGTTAATGTTTTTGTAAAGAGGGATAATGAGAAGGAAGATGGAAAAATGGAAGCTAAGATTCAGGGTTTAGGGTTTAATAGTTTCCCATTGTATTTTCCATTATCCGATTATTATTACCCCTATATAACCCCAATATTACCCCTATAATATGGTAGTTTCCATTTTATTTTTCATTACCCCTTATGAGTGGTAATCCTGTCTGCTTTACGGGCGCAGGGCTGTCTGATAAACACCTCTGTTCCTGTTGAACACGGAGGTTCTTTAGCCTCTATGAGGGGACCCCTGTTTGAAGACACTCCTAGGGGAGCTGACTCACGGTGATTCCAGTTCGGATCATCATAGTCTTAGCCAATGTTTCCGGGGCTCGCGGAAAGAGGCCAGTTCCTTCCGTTGTAGTTCAACCGCTTTCACAAAACTAGAGCATCCGGTCACGAGAGGTGCCTGAGGCCTGCAAAAAAGGTTCCACGTCCAGTGCGGTTAGGGTTCAGCATTCGAGTCCTCCTACAGTTCATCTTCCACTGTCCTGGCATATTACTGCGGCAATTGGAAGCAATGCTGCCGTACTTTGCACGAAAGGGGTTTAGCTTCTGCCCTGCCCGCACAGGATACGAACCTCGGCGCAGACGTGGAGATTGAGGCCGAATTTGTTGTAAATACCGTTTCTTTTAAGCCTCCAATAGGATCCATGATGCTGAGAAGGTTTTTAGAATCTGCAGAAGATTGGCATGTAGCCCCTGTAAATTAGTGTTTTCAAGCTCAAAGACTCTTCAAAAATGAGCCAACCCCATTGCTTTGAGAAGACCACAGGTAAAGAAAGGAAAGGAGAAGAAGGACAAAAAGGAGAAGAAGGACAGCTTGCTGAGGGTTACTGAATGGGTATGTTCAAAAATCTTAGGGATTCAATTTGTTGTAGGGTTTAGGGGTTCTGACAGTGTCTCACAGCGCCTCGGGTCCTTCTTGGGCTCCAGTGGCCTGCATGGGAAGGATGAGGGTCTACGGTTTAGATTTTGGGGTTTGGGTTGTGTTTCTTCAAGGGCATTTTGGAACGATGCCTTGACTTCTCCAAACGGCAAGTGTGAGGAGAAGAAGCAGAAAAAAGACAAGTCTGATACATCAGTGGCGGCCTGAGAATTTGGGCCTTCTCAATATCACGGGCTGCGTTTTTCGGTGCTTCAGGGGCCTGGCACTAGATTTGAGCAGCTTCAAAACCAACTTTTTTGGCTAGTGCTTTGCTACTAAGGTTGTGTGCCTTTGCGCCCTGGTTGTGAGTATAAAGCTGCGGCATTATAATGGCTTCTAGGACACCGCCCAAATCATTACCATTCTGCCGTATAACACAAGATACCAGGACCCCTGGGACCTGCAAAATGGGTCAAGGCTCTGTGATGTCCACATGCACGCATATGAAGCATCACGAAATGCAATGCGGAAACTGCGATAGAGAAGGGCACGGTCAAGACAAGCCTCTTAGGATCCTGAACCAGGACCCCTTGTAGCCAAGGGTACTATAAACCATTAATATTCCTTCAACCCTGGTTTTATATAGTAGGGAGTGGGGGTATGGGGTTTACGGTTTAGGGCCCAAAGCAGCCTAACATCCTACCCCGATGAGACATAGACATCCTCTGCAGCAGCCCATCTGTTTAGGGAGGCTAGTTAAACTTGAGGAGTGAAGCAAGCAGCGCTCCAAACTGCGGAGGTGAATATGATCATAGGTCTTTCTCAAGAGTTGCCTTATGGGGGCATGAATAGGGCTTATGCCTGCGCAATGTGATCCCCCTTTACCAAGTTTATAGGGACAAGATAGTACTGCAATGCAAGATGCAGGCGGGCGGCGAGCCCGTGGAAGCGATTTCTGTTCGAGTTCTGGATGCGTCTCAGCCGCGATACTCTTGCCATAGGATGGGTCAAAAGGTTGGGTTTTCCAGTTACGGATTGCGCGTTTGCGTGCTAGGATTCTGCAAAGTGCCTGGTCACCAAGCATGTTCTGGATGGTTGTCCAAAGTATGGTTCCTGAATCCCCCATCAATCTGTTTAAGCGTCACACTGCATCTGAGCTGCACCACTGTGTTGTTTTATGGGGAAGTGTAGCCCTAAACCCAAAGCCGCAAAGCCACTGCACTCAGCCGCCATCCTGCTGAATGCCATGCCGGACTCCAAGTGTCATCCGACACCCGGCAACCGCCGCTTGAGCCCCCAAACCCAAATCAAGTCGTGTCCCCAAACCCCAGCACCCCCATGAACCAACCAACCATGAACCACAAGGGCAAGTTATGGTCCCGTTTTAACCCTCCCCCCCCCTCCCTCCGGAGGTGGATCTCCACTAAAAAAGTTTGAAAACCTTGCTGCGCCAGGACTCGGAGGCACGCATCCCAGAAGCGAGTGGCGATGACCTGCTTGGCGCAGCGTTTGACGAGTCGCTAGGCGCCGGAAAGGTTACCGGCACTTATACTCGAATAGTTGTATGTGGAGGTTTCCGGAAATGGGAGGATCAAGTATAGACCCCAATATAGTGTAATCCTTAGTGCAAGGTCCCCGAAAAGCCTCCAAAAAGGGATCCCAGTGAGGCCGTGTAACTCTGCAGCCCAGGAGTAGGAGAGTCCGCAAATTCTGAGTTGCCCTTCCCAGCAGCAACCAGCTTAAGCTCTGAGGCAGAAAGCGAAGAAAAAGAAGAAGTCTATCGAACGAGCCACGGTTCATGTTTGGTCTTCAGGTGGGTTATAGGTGTTTTTCAACATGATCCCCATATAGTCTACAAAGATAAGCTCCATATGTCTTCAGTATCCCCTAGTTACCGCCATCTTGAGAAAGCCCCCATATGGGTCAGTGCTGCTTTTGAGTATGCAACAACAACATCTCACCACTTTGTCGAAGCATTTGCATCGTTCAGAAGCTGCTGAGGAGACACTGAGTGAGCAGAGCAACGTCGAGCAACTGACTTCTTCTGCCGGCGCTCTGATGAATTTATCCTTCGGCAAACTATTATGGAACCCCAAGATGAGCCCGTTGCGATCCACATGCCTTCGCATGCTAGTACCCGTTGGTGTTAGGCCAGCCGCTGCCTGTATCCCACACATGAGGCGCAGGAGCCTGTAAGCAGAACTGTATTTGTTGAAGCTTGGGGATCATACCAAGCCTCGGTACAGCAGGCTACAGTTAATGAACTGCCGCATGCTCTCACAGCCCCCGAGCCGGTGACAGAACATCGTTTCAAGTGGCATTAGCCGGCATTGGGAAGTTCAGGGGATGCTTCTAATTGGTGTTGCACGTCAGGGTCCATAGGCAGGCGAGTAGTATTTTATTTGGGGATACTCTGGTACCCAATATAGAGTAAGATTGCATCCTCCTTTTGGGGTATAGTATTTTATATAAGGAACATAATAATCTTACTAGGTTTAACCACCAAAAGGTGTCCTAGATGGGAGATGGCTTCGCCGTTGCTTGCGCGGCGGTGAGCAGCTGCGTGCTGGGCTTCTTGCGTTCAGAGAGCCAGAAAAAGCTGAAGACGCAGTTCAATCCAGCCACCTAATTATTCTCAGCGGGTAGTTTCCCCCACATAGGGGACACCAAAACACTATAGTCACTATAGTTCTTATTATGGGGACCCCGCAAAAAGGTACCCACATGTCTCAGTGAATGCGTGTTGGGCTTCTTACTCTCTGGGGCGAAGGAGTGGCAAAGCTTCAATGCCATGCTGCCAACACAACCCTTATCCCATGTGCTTCAACTCCTACCTAGGCATTTTCGCGGTGCCAAAACCGAACATTTCGGGGGTTGCGACAGTATCAGTCTTTTGTGTGTTTCCGGATCAGCTCCCAATCAAAATCAGGGGCACGACGATTTGGGGGAGCTTGTTGAGAAGCACACCATTGCTGCGGTTTCATGGCCACTGAAGCTCTGATCAGAATCCCTGGCGTGCAAGAGCATGTCCGTTCCAAGCTGCATGAAGTGCAGCAGACCAAAGACAGTCAAAGGGACGAAAAGCAGCGCATCATGCCAAGACAACACGGCAGCTTCGAAATGACAATGTCACAGAATGAGAGCTCCATGATTAAGACCTGTGCTGTGTAGAGTGGCCATGGAACTGGGAGCTCGGATTGGAAGGCTCTGACGTCTTAGACTCTACGCCACGCCTCAGATAGGGAGATGACCCTCATTTATGATGGAGAATCAATGGAAAAGAACATGGAACATGAAATGTTTACTGGGGTCATGTGAGCTTAGCAGGCATTTCTCCCAAAGGGGCTGTCATTCTTTAAGAACTCGGAGCAGATTCGCTGCCAGCGCCAGAGCTGAGTCCTGGATATCAGGTGCCCAGGAAGAAAGTCTGCTCTACTGACACGCGACCTTGAACAAGATGCAATCAAGGGGTCGTGAAACCTTAAGCCCTGAACCTTAGGTTAGACTCCCACCCAAAAATGGCGGTACGAATGGCAGTACACTGGTTCGTACACTGGTTTTATATCCATTCTCCCGCCTCACCTACCTGAATCCTAAACCTGATCGCTTAAACCCTGAACCCAAGGACTGACACGAGCTGAAACCCTAAATTGTGCACCCTTCATCCTGCCTAGATCCTGAGTCCTATATAATCCTTTCATAACTTGAATCAAGCCCTTTTTAATCCCTTTACAACCCCTGTATACCGTATTGCCCAGGGCATGAACGACACCGGGGGCCAATGGAGGCCGGCAGATTGATAGCTTTCGGGTTTGGGGCTTTGGGTTTACGATTCAGGGTGCGCGTCTTTGGACTTAGGGTTGTAGGATGTACAGTAGGGCTTGGGCTTAAGGAGGTTCAGGATGTATAAAAAAAGTGTAGGGCACGAGCCTGGACAACAAAATAGAATCAGGGCAATTTCCTTGTCAACTTCTTTCTGCTTGTGCGTGCTAAAGTCTACGTGATGGGGAATAATGACAGCAGTAACGTGACCGCATAGCTCATATATCTACACCCTTAGCCCTAGACCGCTGCCACGAGTTGGACATAGGTGTAGGCATGTCTAGAAACAGGGATCCCCGCATATGCTCCCAACATACAATGGTCCTCTTTCAGGGGGCCGGCAAGAGGGAGGCCTTCTGGTGCAAGCCCTGAATGCCGACTATCGATATTTGGGCAGCAAATGCAGATTGTAGACCTGAGTATGGAAATTCCGAGATTGGAGAGGGAGGGGCTGTCCAGCAATCCTTGAATTCTAGTCCACTAACAACCAGCAAGCCTAAACCCTAAACCTTGGGTCAAGTTGAGGAAGGCTTGCAGGGACTTTGTTCGATTGACCCGCTTGAAGGTATCGGGTCATCAGTCCAAACAGTAAGCAGTGGAATCTGCTCTTAAACCCTTAACCCTGCAAGTCTGAAACCCTAAACCCCATCCCGATTCTAGTTCTAAACCTTAAACTCTAAACCGCAAGCATATTCGAGTTCGAAACCCTAAACCCCACCCCTATTCGAGCTCTAAACCCTAAACCCTATTCGAGTTCTAGAATCTACACAGACAAGCGGAGACCGGGTGCAGCTGCCTTGCAAAGCACAAAGGCAGGTTTCCAGAAATTGGGGTCCCCATAACACGTATTTTGGGGTACCTTCCATCAAAGAAATTCAGAGGCTTCATAGGGATATATATAAGATTTAAATGTTTAGGTTGTCCCAAAAATAGGCATACCTTCCTGGTGTCCCCATAAGAATTATATAGTACAGTAGGGTTTAGGGTTTATCTACATGCCCAAAGGTAGGGTGCCAAGAAAAACGAACGGCAAAATAAATGGGAGCTGTGCTTATTTTGGGGTCGCGCCTGAACCATAAACCCTAAACTTAGGCTGGGCCCCCACAAAGTAATAGCGGCATATTAAGACCATGTATAAGGACCTTCTTATAACTACTAGTATCCTTTGTGTTCACTATTAGTGGGTGGGGGCCCGACCTAAATGATCATATTGATTAGTCTAAACTCCGAGTATGCTCCTGAATAACCCCTATAATATTCCCTTTCAAAAGTTGTGTGTTGCCCCAACCTAAACCCTAAACCCTAAACCCTGGCTGTTGCTGGGGGTAAAGGGGTTGTTGTCCTTTGGTGCCTGCTTTGCAACCTCCCTCCTGTAACAGCAACGGCCCCAGAACGCTCCTGAAGTTCGTATTTTCGAAACTACAGGGTAAGAACCCTTTGCCGAGCCAGGCAGACGAAAAGTCCGAAGGGTTGTAAAAAAACTATAAACCCTACTTACTAAGTCCCCCATAAGACCCTCCAAGCATGATCTGCAGGATGCCCCGGCCAAAGACAGCCAGGGAGGTGGTGATGAGGCGATGGCAGCAGGCCAGCATTCCTGTTTGGACGTCTTTCTGGGTTTAGGGGTTTAGGGTTCAGGGTTTATCGTGTAGGGGTTTAGGGTTTAGGGGTTTAGGGCTTAATTTCCCCAAATAGATCCCAGTAAATTATGATCCTTATTACAAGGACCCCTAGAAAGGTTGGGAACACCCTCAATCTACCCTGATTTAGCTAATTATAAGGATGGAAAGGAAGCTTTGCTATGTACCCCAAGCACTCTGCAATCCGTACAAAAGTCCCCTGCGCAGAAGAGAGAATGCAGCTGCTCTTGGTCCCCCCAATTCAAAAAGCTCTTAGGATTTGAGTTTAGCGACCCGAGCGATTGTGCAGGCCTCGGGATCTTCAATAGGGTTTATGGCTTAGGGTTTAAAAAGCAGATGTCTACGCTCTTATGAAGTATCTTCGCGTGAGTTGGGGGTAATCAAGAACCCTAAGAACCCCGATTGTCCCTGCGGCTCCGGTGCAGTTCTTTTGCGTGGGGCTGTGCTACTACGAGGCATTCGGCTACCCAACCCACACCCATGTGGACCCTACGACCATCACATGACGCTTCCAGGTTAATGATTACCGGGGTTAGGTTGTTTAGTGTTGTCACCGCTTGTTGGGTAAATTAACTCAACATTTGTCAGTGGTTTTGTGCGCAGCTGCTCCGTACAAGTAAGTTTGGATCTATGTTTTGGGGAAGCTGCGCCAGTGCTTGTGTGTGGACTCTGGAAGAAAAGCTCTAGAACCTACTATAGGACTTCAACAGCACAGCTTCCAAATATGGGTATCTCTCAACACTATCCCCATGCCAAGGAAAGCATACTGCAACGTAGCTCTCATATATCCTGAACCCCAAAACCCTAAAGCCCTAGACCCCAAATCGCATCCCTTCTTGTGGAAACCCCAATGCCTGCATTGCCAGGGAGGGGGTGCCAAATGCGGAGGAGGCAACGAGGTTAAACATGATTGTAGTTTCTTCAACTTTGATTTGCACTCTGAAGCCCTAAAGCCTTCAACACTTAAATTAGGGTTTAGGGTTTAGGGTCCTATACCCTAAACACGCACAGGCGGGCTAACGATTAAATTTTCATTCGCCGTTCAAGTGGCAACCAAGCCCAAGCGGGCTAAGCACCCACACATACTGTTGGGCATATCTACCCTTTCCATACGTTATAACCCAACTTACTTGTAATCAGGGAGCCCTCTTGGCGGTGCGTTATTGCCCAAACTGTGAGAAAAGTTCCTCAAACCTTACTGTCTACTTTGTAGGTGAGCTTGGGGCAGAAGACTGCACCATAAACCCTGAACCCTTAACCCTTCCCTTCGCCCTAAACCTCGAACCGTACGCCTTAAACCTTAAAGCCTACACCCTAAATACAAACCCTCAACCCTAAAACTTCAGCCCTATGAGCCCTAAACCGTGAACCCTGTAAGCCCTAAAACCTTATGAGCTTTCAACCTTATGAGCCCTAAACCTGAAACCCTAAACCCGAAGCCCTGAACCTAAGCCCCAAAGCCTACACCCTGGACCCTAAACCCTAAGCCCTAAGCCCTAAACCCAACCCTAGACCCCAACGAGTTGCAGGAATTTCTGACGCAGCCAGCGCAG